GCTGATACACTCATTTATTGCTGCCCTGCGTCTTTACACAGGCAGAGGAATTGTAGAGCTTCAGCATCAGCACATCTCAGTCATGGGGTCTATATTCGTAGCTGTGCTGCTGAAGAGCCAAGAGCCGTTCTCTCTTTTGCCAAGGCAAAGGGGAACGTGCAGTCTTACAAGGGACGTGTCTGCACACACCACGAACCGAATCCAGACCACCCACCACGGCACCAGGCTCCCGTCAAAGACAGTAGAGGCCAGTAGTCATGAAGTCTGTTTAAGTATTCTGGACACCTTATCGCAACTCCTTCTTCTCAATGACCACACAGTGAGCCTGGGCTGGAAACAAGTTTCTGAAATTACTCATCAGTTCCTTGAACTTGGGCACCCCATTTTCTGTCATGTCCATCTTAGATAGCATAAGGGATCTGATTAAATCCTGTGATTTTCCCACCAAAAGTGACTTGGCAGCCAAGAAATCTGTGGCAGGGCCAGGAGCTGAGCCCCCATCCCCTGTGCCCTACCTCATCAATGGAAAAAATCGAATGTCCTCATGGCACAGGGCTGGGAGAAGGGTTTACCAGCAGGAACAAAACTGAATGTAAAGATCTGAAGGGGACAAAGCAGTGTAGTCTTGGCCTGGGTCCACAGCAGCAGGCATGAGGAGGAGCAGAGGGACTGAGGGGGAAAGGAGATGTCTGGGGTTTGCCAGCCTGGCACAGCTCTTCCTTGCCAATGGCAAGGAACTTAATGCTGTCAGCAACTCACCCACTGGTTATCATGCATTTAGGAGATCTGTACTTAACTAGACAGCCCTGACTATTGCTGATACCTTAATGAGCTCTATGTTTATCTTTAAAGGATAAACTGGATAGTAGTTAATGGGCCACCAAATGCCGGCAGGAGAAGACAGGGAGAGAGGAAATAGGAAGGGGTCTGATTTTGCATGACACTAACCAGTGTCATCTCATCTCCAACAGCAAACTACAGAGCCAAATTATCCAGAAATCCTTCTAATTGCCATCAATAAGCATGGAGTCAGCCTCATCGATCCCAAAACCAAGGTAAGCAAAACTGAGGTACTCACCAGACGCTCCTGAGCCCACTCCCCAACCCCTCACAGAGGTCACCCCAAAGACCGTGTTGTTCAGAACCTCAGGAGTTCTCATTAAACCTAGTTAGAAAGGCTGGATAGCCAGAAAAGTTTCTGGAGGCAGAAATTCACTGTTGCACAGAGACAGCCCAGCCTTTTTCAACAGGAGGTGGATTGGGAGCATCAACTGTTAGGGCACCCGCTCTTTCCTTAATCCTTTCACAGACATTAGGACAGGGGCTGGAGTAAATGAGCTCCTACTAGTTACTTCCACCAGCCACATTCTAGTACAGCAGTCTGCCACAAGCACTGGAGGATCCGGAGTCTTGCATCTCACTGCCATTCCCATGAGGCCATGGTACAGTCTCTTCTCAGCAGACATCCTTGGTCTGCTTTGATGGAAAGTGAACAAGGACATGAGAAGTCCCCACAGCCCTTCGTGAAAGTTGAGGCTGTCGCATGTTGAGTGTCAGTGTTGTGTTCCCACCAGGATATTCTCATCACTCATCCCTTCACCAAGATCTCCAACTGGAGCAGTGGCAACACGTACTTCCATATAACCATTGGCAACCTGGTGAGAGGAAGCAAGCTGCTCTGTGAGACCTCGCTGGTAAGGAGTGTTAAAGATTATTGGGCACAGTTAAACCAAATCCTGACTTTGGCAGGCAAAATTAAATGCTTCCAGCAATTTGTCTCAGGGATGCTCTGGGCTGAAGGTGGTCTCTTAGAAGAGCCCCCGATGTGTTTTTTCCTTCTGGATTTCCTATGGCTCTGCTCAATGGGTCAGGGCTCTCACTTGGTCCATCATCCAATTTACGAGCAAGCCTGAGGTGCTTGGGACATTGCCATCTCAGGAGCATGAGGCACTGCTCCCTGTCACTGGACTGAAAAGCATATTAAAGCAGATGTGGGCTCAGGGGGAACTCTTGAGCCCTTTTACCAAGGTGCTTTGCCCAGATTGTCCCTAGTAACAGTCACAGCAACAAACCTCCTCCTAGACTATCTTAAACTCAAAGCATGAAGGATAAAAATT